TATTTATTTAATAATATATAAAAAATTATATTTATAACACGAAATAATGTCTTTTTCCGTGAGTTTCATTGATTTTGTCCACGGCATTTTCTGTAGCTTTTCGTTTCCGTGAGAGAGACTTTTCCCGAGGTTGGAAAGTCAGAAAATTGGCAGTGAAAGGCGCAGTCAAAACTCTAAACGCCTATGGTTCTTCATGTTTACATCATGACCTCCGTTCACGCCTCCTCACCGTAATCTGTATAACGGCGCGTTCTCAGTGCCGGTGATATCGCACGTGTTCTTGACTTTTTTAGTCAATGGGTTGAATCCTCAGGGTTGGCCTGGCTTCCTTCTAATTTTCTAGTCTAATTTGGCTAAATTAATGGTTAGATCCTTCAAACTTATAGAATAGTATTTTTTAATAGATTTAATTTAATATTTTAATTTTTTAATAATATCTTATCAAGATAAAAAAATTAGTATTTAGATATTCATAAATGAGGTCGATACACTTTAATTGTTTAGAAAGAAATCACATTCCCAAAGTGTTTAATACGGACAAATCTTAGTTGGATTAACTTTATTTGGGACCCGTTCATCGAAACAAGGTAAGATATTGCGTGATTTACCTGTGTTTGTTACTCGCCATTGCTAATATTTTCTGTCTGTTTCTTTTGGGCAAATATCTACAGTATGTGGTTGTATTCTGCTTCCTGAATTAGCCCTTCTTTTTTTTTTTTTTTGATTTTCCGCCCGTTATCCGAGACTTTGCCTCAACTATTCCGGACTCGACTAACTGTGACGCACCAGAATGGTGGGTGGGTCTCCCAACAAAGACTGTTGTATACACAAGGTTTCAAACTCGAGATCTTATTTAAACTGAAACAAGTCGCTTATCACTTCATCCAACTCTCGCCGGTTGAATTAACCCATTTTTGTTACTATGAGTTTGGCACTGTTTCTGTTATACGAAGCAAAAACAAACAGCCATGTGATGATTGTGATGACAGTTGCCGGTTATACAAAATTCCACTCATAATTTATGATCTGGACATAAGTAAAGAAGAGGGATGCATTAAATTTTACTTAAATTAAATGGGTAATTAGAATTTTTCCACCATAAAAAAAAAAGAAAGAATTATTACAGTTGGAAATTTTAACTAATTATGACCTTCCACTGCCAGGAAGTCTATGATCACAAATTAGGTAAGGTGATATTTGGCCAATTCCGCCTCCTTAAGCGGCATACTGCGCCAACCGTATAACCTTTGACGGTGGAACACTCTCCTGTCGTGATGTTCTATTTTCCTGCGCTTCCGTTCAATAACGCTGTTGAATAATCACAAGAAAGAAGAAGAAAAGAGTGACAAGAAAGTAATTGGAAAGAAAAAAACTGTTACGAAACTAAATAATTATATCATTAAATGAGATATAAGTTTTTTAATATTAAAATATTTATTTAATTTATCTTTATCT